GTATATGGTTGAAGTGACAATAAAGCCAACTTGACTTGACTTGACTTGACTTGAAGATTTTCACTTACAGAGTAATACTAGCTCACAGTTCTTCGTAGTGATATTAGAAAGGAGAATGCCACTTCAAACTAAAGCGTAAACACTCGCAGAATGTGTGCAGACATGTGCCATGATATTATACAGGAGGGTCTGAGAGTTCATGTTAGCACATTCATTACGCTGCTTGTTTCTCAGGAATTCAGTCGGTGCTGTTTAAGTCTATTCTGCCATTAAACACACAATGCACCATGTCTCTATTTTCTCCTCACTTCAGGCAGAAACAAAAATGTCCTTTATGTGCTCCAAGGCAAGTGTGTTACATCATGTCTATAGTACACACTCGATGTCTTATAAAATAAAATCAAGGCTCCTTTGTGTCTGAAACCGAGGGTGTCCTTGAGCATGCTCCCAGCATCATGAGAACACCTCTGACTCCACCTACTGGTAGATCTGTCTGAAAATGTTTACCAGGAGACTTGCAGCGTGTATTTCTTTTTCTTTTTTTTTTAAAGCAACATGTGAATATTCTAAAATGGAATAAAAATTAATGTGACCTTTAAAGCTTTTAATTTGCACTCAGTGTGATGCTAATTTTATTTGTTCTCAGTTTGCTCCCACACAGCTCACCATCACACATGCTGGCTTCTGCATTATAGTGACGTCCAAAATAATTCAGTCAGTGTGTTATGTTTCACAATATTAAGCATTATGCAATGAAACAGAGTAAATGAATCACAAAAAACAATTAAAACACAAACAAAATAATTCTAAATAAAATAACAGTTTTATATTGACACACATGGTTCTCAAACCATGGGGCAGGTCCCATTTGCGGCGCATAAAGCCACTGCAAGTTGGGCATTTGACTAAAATTTAGCTTCGATATTTTTAATAGTTTATGACTGATTAAAGAAATTTTGGTGCAGGGGGGCATGAACTTCTTTTGGCAACTGAAGTGAGGCAAATCAGAAAAAAGACAGAGAACCACTAGTTTACACATTATATTGATTAATTGGCCAATTTATTAGGTACTTTTCAAGCACAAATATCTAATCATCCATTCACACGATTGCAACTTAGTACATTTAGACACGTAGACTGAGTGAATAGATTTTGAACACAGCATTGTTGGATATTTTAGAAACTGCTGATCTACTGGGATTTTCCTGCACAGTCTTTTCTGGAGTTTGTGCAGGAAATGGTCTGAATAAGAGAAAATATTCAGCGATCAGCTCTATGGCTAAAAAAACTTGTTGATACCAGAGGTCAGAGGAGAATGGGCAGACTGCTTCAAGCTCACAGGAAGGCAGCAGTAACTGAAATAGCCACTCGTTATCACCAAAGTATCTGTTATCTGTACCAAAAATATCTCAGAATGGACAGCAGAAGACCACACTGGGTGCCACTCCTGTCAGCAATGAGCAGGAAACTGAGGCTACAGTTCACACAGGATCACCACAACTAGAACCTCAAACATGGGCTGGTCTGGGGAGTCTTGATTTCTGCTGCAACGTTTGGATGGTAGTATCATAATTTGCCATAAACAGCATGAAAACATGGATCTGGTGGTGTAATGTGCAAGGAATATTTCACTGGCACACTTTGGACACCTTTATAAACATAGTGCACCCATCTTCTGATGGCTGCTCTCAGAATGGTTTTTTAAACAGGACAATGAGTTCACTCAAATGACCTCCATGTCATCAGAACACCGTGGGATGTGGTGGAATGGAAATTTTCATCAGGGATGTACATGCAATGAATCTGCAGGAAGTCTATGACGCTATTATCTCAATATGGACCAAATTCTCTGAGGAATGTTTCCAGCACTTCCTTTCTATGTCATGAAGAATTAAGGCAGCTCTGAAGGTACAAGATGTACATAACAAAGAAGCTGGTGAGTATATATGTATATATGCAGCATGTACATCATATGTGAACAAGAAACACATCTGAATATAAATGTCAAAAACTCTGCGCTGGATTGCTACAAACCTCTCCAAAAACTCAAACCAAGAAACACTATTAAAATAGACAGAAATCTTAAATATTAAGTAAAATACCATGTGACAAAACAAAATGGCAAAATAAATGTTAAAAAATTGCACAAACGGAAATAACTAAATGAAGGGGGAAAAGTAAAAAACAATAAATGACATATGATAAATAGAAACTCTTAATAATAATTTCTATTTTACAAAGATAATAGATACAAAGAATTCAGTTAATACTTGTACAGCTGCTGTTATTGTGTGTTTATATATATTTATTTATTTATATTTCTTCATACATTCTTATATAGTTCTATACTGTGTATTGTGTATTTTGTTGTACAGTTATTTTATTTTCAACTTTAATTTATATATTTTATCTTATTCTTTCCCAGTTAAATTTACCCTTCATTCTAATTTGTGTTGTACAGTTATTTCATTTTAACCTTAATTTTCTATATTTTATTCCTTCCTAGTTAAATTTACACTTTTTAATTTTTCATATTTATTTCCTGTCTTATTCATAGCCTTTTCCTTTTTTTTTTCTTTAGGTCACAAGCAGTTGTCTAAGCATTTCACTGCATATCATACTGTGTATGACTGTGTACGTGACAAATAAAAATTTGAATTTGAATTTGAATAAATTCTTTGTAAAAAGTTGAATACAGCACAATTAAAGGTAAAAGTCTAAATGAAATCATTATCATCACTTAGAGGTCACTACAGTGGATTGTCTGTCTCAGCTTCCTCCGTCACACTAACCCTCTATGTCCTCCATTGATATATCAGTGGAGCTGCTAAATAAGAGGAGAAGAGGAAAACCACGCTGAGCATTCATCTCCACTATATCCACTATCCCTCCTCTGTATGTCAGAATCATCTCAACCTTCTCTGTCTTACTTCGCTCAGCATCTGCTGTCCCTCATATATAATAATAAGTTAAGAATAACATACAACATTATATTAGCCTACAATGGGATGACAAAGCTCATGTAGAATACTTTCTTAACACTAGGAGCAGAAGATGTTTTTTTAAATCATTTTATTATCATGAAGGTTGGAAAAATATGAAAATTACTGAATTCAAAGTGTTGCTTTGTGGCAGCAGTGAGAAAGATACAAGAAATGTCATGTCTTAGTCTAACATCAGAGGACATGAGTTTTATTGTGAAGGGCAAAAGCGATTCTTCCTCTGCTAACGGATTTTATGCTTTTATTCTGAAGTCATGACTTCCTGAAGTTTCTTCCTGTGTGGCTTTAACTTGACGCCGCACTCTATCGCCTTTTTTAGCTGGATGAAAACTTCATTTCACAGACAAATTCAATGAGAAGGTGAACGGCCACCATGAAGCTCCGTTGAAAGGCGGCCAAAGAGTTTGGAGTAAGCTAACTGGAGACTGCAGGACCCCGTCGTTAAAACTTTTTCTTTGGTCGAAAACTGTAAGTTTTCCGAAGTTTCAATTAAGTTTTTTGCAGTTTTAAAAACAGAGTTACTGTTAACTGTTGACTTTTCCAGTCTTTACTAAAGTGCTTACTTGACTTTTATGGTGTTAAAAACGCTAAAGTCATCTCGTTTTCTGTTTAATTGGACTTGAAGCTAAAAACGATGTGGACGTGTTAGCTAACGTATTAACCCAGAGGTGAGCTTTTCCCCCTAACTTTTGCGTATTCATTTGAATATTGAATGTATTCCCTATGTTAATGGCTATTTAAGATTATACTGCACATATGGCAGCCTAAAGTTAAATAGCCATAATTGTGTTGAGGTATTTAGAATTTATTGTGATATTATAATTTGTATTTTCCTCTATTTCTACACCATCGGTGAACACTTATATAGAAAATCTCCCCGGGTCTTACTGTGATATTTCACTGCAGTTTTAAAATGTTATTTGGGGTTAAATCACCAGCCCATGCACCACACATGTGTTTAAATTCCATGTTAACAAAAAACACATGTAGATACTAATAATCCATAGAAGTGATAAAGTTATTGGAGACAGTACTTTTTTTTTTCAAAGCATTGCAGTTTCTTTTAGTGCTTTTAATTGTGCTAGCTTTGTATGTGAGGACCCTTATTGCATCACATTTTATTTATGTATCCATAAATGTGCAGGCCAACTTATGAATCACTGTCGTGAACCTCCAGTCAGACTCAGTTTGGCGCCCAGCATCATTTAGAAAATGATGTAGGAGCCAGCACTTTATAGCTGATTCAGGTCCAGTGTCGGCTTTTTTCATCATCAGCCTGAGACTTATGCAGCCTTTGTGTGGGTAAAAGTCTGCAGTGTAGTTTTTTTTTTATTCAGGAAAACCCCCACTCCTGAGGCACATGACCCCCTGGCAGTGCTCTACTCTCCCGATCTCCCTCTGGTGACGTCTTGGCCTGCAGGCAGATAACCTAAAACTTAACAAAGGATTTTATTTCCCTCTCTGTCAATAACCACATTTGTATTCTCACCTCACTCATTCAGCCAATGATTCATGTCTCAGAAAACCCATGCTGATGCACACTTGCTTGCACAGCCATATCTGATGTTACAGGAGCATAGTAAAACAAACTGCTTAGTGATTGTTTAAGAGACACAAATAAATAAGTCTAATCTCCTGGAAGCATGTTTCCTCAGGCAGCAGGCGTGTGCGTGTGTGTGTGTGTGTCTGTCTGTCAGTCAGTCAGTCAGTCAGTCAGTCAGTCAGTCAGGACAAAGTCCATTATTGGCCCATGGCAGTAAACTTGCCTTGCAATAAGATTTACATGGCACACTCCCCAAAGTTTTCTAGATTTAGATTTTGTTTTTCTTAAAGCCACGTGTCCAAAAATTCTACGGGGGCCTTTCTATCTCAGGCACCTTTTTTTTTTTTTTTTTTTTTTTTTTTCTCTCCATGATATTTGCATTCCTTGCATTCTTGGTGCAGTTATCTTGTGGTAGTGTATTTTGAAAGAAGGGAGGTGTCATGTTGAAGCCACATGACATACTGGGATGTTTACATTCTTCTGAAATTAATTATAACGTCTTAATCTAAAACATTTGTCTCACAAGAACAGATTTAAAGGCTCGTTCCTCTCTAAATTCAGTAAAATTGATGCTAAAGGCTCCATTATGATGTGACAGAAGTAATATAGGAGCTCCTGGACTTTCAGCTTTTATTGCAGTGTGTGAAGGGATTGCAGGAAAATTGCAGTGTCTTTGCAAGAGGAAGACATTTCCCCAGAATTTGCCAGGAAGCACTTCCTGACAGGACTGAGTGAAGGTCTTCCTGAGCGTAAGGATGCCTCTGTTTCAATCCTGTTTATTGGAAGCGCTTATAATGGTGTGAGTAATACTAGGACTTCTGAGTTACCTTAGTGATAACAAAGGCAACAAACTGTAGTTTTTCTTGGCTTGCTGAGATCTCTTACTCATTTCCTCCAGAGCTTTTCTTTATTTTGACAATTTATTTTTCCCCTCTAGTTTGAATTCTGCCTGTGATGTAGTTTGGGCCACGTGGAAAAACTGCAATAACTTGGGATCAGAGTCGTGGTGCTACCATGTGAGGCTCTAAAAGACAAAGACTTGTTTGTGTAGCGTGTTGCGGCAGCCGGTGCTGCAGTGAGAAACCCAGCGCTGGTTTAGTGTCTGACGTTACTATGAAACAACCTGACCTCACAGTAGCCCAGACTGAAAGTTCTATGCACCATCTCTCAGGGGGAAGGGTAAACAAAAGGAGGGTGTTTGACTGGAGTTTTTGACGGGGCTTTTTCTTAAATTGGGTGGCACAGAAAGACCAAGAGCAAGGCAGGTGGGCCAGAATATTCAATCATAAAATGCAGTGATGACAACTGGTGTGGAAAAACATTAGGTGCAGCCCTGTGCTCCAGTGCACAAAAGCCTGCAGATGATTCTTGTACTGAATAAGTTTTTATAAGTCGATTAATGTCTTAGTAACTTTTGTCATTGTTATTAGCTGTCAGTTCAGCTCAGGAGGGTTCAAATCCGACTAAAACAAATGTTTTAAAAGGAATGGCAGCAATGTAGGTGTATTGGAGACGGTCTGTATTCAGTTATAGTTTCAGATCTGGTTATATTTGCAGTTTATTTTAGTCAAGGGTGATGGTGCTGAAGGAGAAGCGAATGTATTGATTAGATTACTTTTAAAGAAGAAGTAGTCATGAACTTATGGTAGCAAGTTATTTTAAACTTGTTCTCAGACCTTTGACCTAAAGTGTCACACAGATTTACAAACCATGAGCAAAAGTATCGTACAGCTGATTATGAGCAGGTCTAAACTTCCTACGACAAACTGGGTTGTAGTACTTCACCTTATGCAGCTTCTTATGCTACATTCTGAAATGCACATCTGTACCACAGCTGGAGGTAAGTTATAGGAGCACGAGGCACCGGTAGAGGCGTGTGTGTGTTACAGAGACCGACCATTCAACGTATGGTCAAGTAATCCCAGCCTATTTTCAGATGCTTCATCCCTCCCCCCTCCTCATTCTGTATCACTCCAAATCCATCTGGTTGACGTTAAAACCACCTCTTAGCCCCAGAAAAGTAGAGTTTGATTCTCTTACTGATTTCTTTCTTTAAAATTGAAAAATTCTTCTGTCAGATGGATTTAGATCAGTAGCATTGATTCCTTTTTTTGGGGGGGGGGAAACATTTATTCAAATGGCAAGAGCAGAACAATAAGTGAATGATGTCATTAATGCGGTTTTATAGTGTGTTTTTTATAGTGTTAGATGGCCTCTCAGACCTCCACAAAAAAGCTGTTTTTAGGCCTCTGAACATATGCTTTTTATCCATTGCTTTTGCAATTATTGCCCTTTTTAAAATAAAAACTTTAGTTTAGAGTGAACTAAGGTTTGTGAGCAATTTATTCATGATTGATATAAGTGGATATTTGCTTTGTAAAAGTGTATCAAAAGAGCATTGTTGAATAGGCTTGGAGTGAAATGTCCACCTCTTTCATAGAAGTTTACCCTCTGACTGGTCCCAGCAGATACGTACCCCTCCCTAAGCCTGGTTCAGGCAGAGGTCTCTTCCTGTAAAAGAGGAGTATTTCCTCACCACCATCAACAAATGCTTGCTCATAGAGGGTCATCTGATCACAGTCAACCGATGGGGTTTTCTTTCTAATATTGTATGGTCTTTAACTTAAAATATAAAGGGCGATTCTTGTGAAATCAAGTTAGAGGTTGTGTCTACTGTTTTTGTTTCCCAATGTTGTTTCTCCTGACACTGACGATCAAAAATTATGCAGCAACCAGCTGGGTGTACAGAGCAAAGACGTTGGCCTAAGGAAAAGCTACAACCACTTGAAGCTGGCTCTGCATCGTCTCAGTATCATCACATCATCTCAATATGTGGGATAATAATGATGCTCAGTCCCACAAAGATATTTGTGGTCTTGATGGTATATTTTAAAACAAACTGGAGGCCAATTGTGGTTAAGTTTTTGCAAAAGTATGTAATGTGGACATGTTTTCCTTCTGATCGGTGTTTTCCTGGTGTGTCTGAAAAGATATCTATGATAGTCGGGACCAAGCCTCTTCCTTCCTACTTAAGACAATAAAAAAATAAAAAAGTAAGGGTTAAGCAATTTCCTTAAACAGCTGGACACTATCTTTTTTTGAGGAAAAATTACTTCAGCAGGACTGAATGTTTGCATGTGTTTCAACTTTCATCAGGGAAGAATAGACTTTGGGCACAGGATGGATCATGTGTGATGTCAAAACAAACTACTGTGGTCAACAATGGAGCTCCATGGCACAGAGGAATAGGATATTTCTGGCTCTAGCAGATAGACAATACTTGTTTGTAGGTTCAGTTCTTTTCTGCGTGGGTTTTTTATTTTTTATTTTTATTTTTTATTTTTTTTGCTTGGGGTAAAATATCTGAATCCATTTGAGTTGCCTCCATGTATATGACACGCCAGCTTTTGTTTGTTGTTTCTTGTTGGCATTTTATCTTTTCCCTTCATGGATCAGTTTAAATGTCTTGGGCTTTGACATAATACAGTCCTTGGGGGGATTTAGTGTGAGGGAAAGAGGGTCAAAAAGGTCAGCAGGAATGTCACTGCCTGGTATTAGTGTTTAGTTTGTGGGAGAACTGGCTTGCTTAGGAATGCATGCAGTCATCACTCCTACGCTTCAGGCATCAGACAATACAATTTCATATGGACCCTCCTTCATAAGGCCACAGATGGACTCTCATCTTTAGGTTTAGCCATATTTTATATATATATATATATAATTTATTTTTTAAATGGTTGATCTGTTCATCACTGATGTGAGTAAAAGTGGAAAATCCCTGACATTTTAAAGGCTTTGAGTCTAAAGAACGACCAAACCAGTTTTTACGGAAGGTTTCAGTGCCATCTATTTGCTGCATGGCCAGCACAAAATTGACTTTTATTTTCATGTGCTCATTTAATTCCTGTTTTGACTCTTTTCCAGAGATAAATTGACCTGGCATTTTGACTTTCATGGGAATTGTTACTAAATGGGATTTCACATGAAACTCATTCCAGTTTCGATGTGGCTTTTATCACATGACAACTCATTCTATTTCATATCTCCTCAAGGGACAAAAAAATGGGACCATTAATGACAGCTGAACAGAGCATGAGTTAGGGTGTCTTGTGAAGGATTTCATTATTTACATATTTATTTGTTTGTTTTTAAATTTCAAAAGTGTTTCCAGCAACAAATATGACTCTTGAGCTATATATTTCCTCCAGAGTTTATTCAAAAAGCATCCTGTTTCCATCAAATCACAGAGTAAAGCATAGTAGTAGCAGTCGTAGTAAGAAGTGCATCGGTGGTGTGCCTCCAACCTCATTCCACTTGGAAACTTTACAGTTTATATGGAAAGCAGGTTGTTATATCTTCAGATGCATGTGTCTGCATAACCAGGGTTCTGTTTAGATTCAAGCGTAATGATATGTTGATGTTGTACTACAAATACAGCACTTTGTATGACATTTTGGAACAAACCTACACCCACTTCTCTGCAGTTAAACCAGGCGCCAAAGCACTTAAGGCTCCTTGTTTTAACAGCAGACTGTAGCAAACCCAGCTCACATATTGAGGTCATTGGTCTTAATTAAGCCCTTAATGCCAATTCTTAACCTACTGGGTATGACACTGTGACCCCACAGAGGGAGGAAATGAGGCAAAGCCACTAGTCCCTGCCCCCCCTCCCTTTTTTACTATGCAATGTCTGAACAAGTGGGGTTACTGTTTTTATGTCGGACAGCTGGGCTCTCTGTGCCATATTGTTTACTATTTCAGTTCCTCTAAATCAGATTTTGTTTGAAGCGATAAGTGGCCAGTGCAAGTAAAAGAGAGACATGTGATAAGTGTTTGAATCCACTGGTCATGGGTATATTGTCCAACTTTGTTATGGAAGTTTGAAATGCCGAGCATGCCGGAGCTACAAGGCCTGAGACCCCTGGGAGAATAGTGCCATTATTTTAGAGAGGAGCCTGGCCATGAGCACTCGTGACTGCCCACTCGCCGGAAATAAGGGCTTCTGGATAATAAGTCCTGGAAATCACTTTGTTTTTTGTCTCTGAGGCAGCCAGTTTTTTTTTTTGTTTTTTTTTTCTTTTCGTTTTTTTGTGTCGCCGACTGCAAGGGTAATTTGATGCAGCAGTCATTTGAAAAGGAAGAATGAGACCTTTTACTGTAACAAGATTAGTGATAACTTAATAATAATTTCTTTTTCAAGTGGAAATGCAAATGCATGCATACAGGCAGGCTTTCTGGTTCAAAACAGGCTATTGTGCATCAACAGTGCAATTTCCTTACCAGTAACTACAACAGGGACAAGGGTGGCATCAAAAATATATGTAAAGGACTCTTTAGGGAATTGCCTGATTCACCAGAAATGGCAGTTTACTGTTGTTGTCTTGCTTTTCTTTACTGGACATGTTAATTTTAGTTGTTTAGACGTGGCATGAACATTTTGCAAATTTGTCTGCCTACTCTTAGGAAGTGGCTCTCCAGTCCTGTTTTGGATCAAAACATCCCTCCCACCAAGTTCCAGTGTTTTCACCACAGTAGACTTTGAGACCTGGCATTTTAGGGAATACTGACATTCTTGGTTGAAAACATGTCCAGCTAGTCCAGCGTGTTACATCTGCTATATTTTAAAAACTGTTACTGGGTAACATTAGGAGTGATAGTTGCACAAGAAAAGGGCCAGTGTATGCCCACATTGTTTTTAATGCAATGTCAAACAAATAACACGACATATCGTAATGTGGACTATTATATAAAAACGTATGGAATGCCTACAAATCCATATTTTATCCCAAATACAGCATTTTAAAACACTGGTTGTTTAAACTGAGGCATTTTACTCTTTCATGAAAATTTTTTTTTTCTCATTATCATTTGAATGCAGCAACATATTAAAACACAAAACTTGGGGCAGGGACAGCAAACGGCTGGAAGAGTAAGTAGTACTAAAGAGAAACAGCTGGAGGAACCTTTTGGCGCTAATTAAGTTAATTGGCAATGGGTCAGTAACATATTGTCTGTATAAAAAGAGCACTTGAGAGAATTGGGTCGAACTCGCCTGCCTGCAGTCTAAATCTTTTACCGATTAACAACATTTAGCCATCCTTTTTTTTTTTTTTTTTTTTTTTTTTTTTTTTTTGGGGGGGGGGGGACTTTCTTTGTAACCTAATTTTTAGCCATCAAAGTAGCCAAACAAATGCTAGACATTCATCCATACCCTCGTTAGCCTGATTCTGATTCTCACTTTAACTCTAAAACCAAAGTTACAAGTTTGCCAGTGTAATCATTTTTAATCATTTAGATTGTTTTTAAAAACAAACTGTTTCCAACGAAGATGACTTCAGATGTTTAATCTGTTCAGTCTTTGGTTTGCTGTGACAAACCAGTCCTTCATTTAAAATTTCTTTTGGAAGAGTAGCTCTCAAGAGCTGGAGTTAAGTCTGCCCATCACACAATCACTTTTTGAACAAGCACAATTGCACACACATTCAAGGAGTGTGTGCTTACACCTAAGCGTTTTTCCAAACACTGACATAAGGCCAACCCTGATGCTTTCAGGGAACATTTGTAAACTGTAGCTCCAGAAAATTTGTAACATTATCCAAATAAACACTGCACTAGTGTCATTAAATTTCTGAATTCTGTGAAGAGAAGCTGTCGGTGCTGTTGTCTTAGTGGCTGTTGATGATGTGATATGTGGTTTCATGTGGGCATGAAACACCATCTCATCACACGGTGTATTTAGAAGTTGTAGTTGAGTGCTGTTAAACATCTATTTAGCCAGATCCAGTTTGAATAGTTGCTTTGATGAAAAGTTGAAGAGCTTTTACGCAGTAATGGCAATACTTTTACCTCATGTGCAATACTCCAGCAGTTTGGGGGATGGCCACTTTTCAATCTTTTCTGTCTTACAACGATCAAAGTCTGTTTGTGAACTGATATCATAAAAAAGACTACTGCAGGCATAGCTGCAGACACCATATTTGGCAGTGATTTGATTTTGAAGTATATTTTAATGCCTTTTAGTTCCGGCCAAGATCCTTTATGGAGTTTCCCTTTTTTCTTATGCTTGTCTTCTCTTTCAGAACAATTGAACACAAGATGATGTCTGACGCTAGCGAGATGTTGGCAGCAGCCTTGGAGCAAATGGATGGGATCATAGCAGGTAACCACAGTGAACATTTGGACTCTAAGACCTGGGAATAGCACTTTTTCAAGTGGGCATGGTAAGCTATGAGGGTCTACTCACATCTGGAAATCATTAAATTGCAAATACAGAGTCTAGCGGACAATAACTTTACCACTTTTACCTGCAGTTTAATGTAATCCTTCTGAATATACATGAGTCTGAAATACAGCTGAAACCATGCTTTTAGTGGTCTGCCTCCACTGCTTGAAGAATTAAAGTAAGTTTCCATTGTCCCTGCCGTGATGGAAACTAATGATTATTCAAGCTCTGTGAGTTTGGAATATAAACCTCTTGCTTGCGAGCTTTTGGCTGCACTCTGTATATTTGTGCTGCTGCAGATGAGCAGACCAGGCTTCAGTTTTTGAGTCCCTACTTTTCCACTGATGTGTGTAATTATAGCACTGACCTTTCCAATGGGAACGAGACGGCTGATCACATGATATCACCCCGTCCCCACTGTTTCCGCAGAAACCACAGGCATCATCAAGCCCTCATGCCCTGCTACTGTGGGGGAAGCCATGCTTGGTGGGAACATCATGCACTTGAAATCAGTTGGGATGCTGCCGCATTTGCTTCCAAATAAAATGCAGTTGCCACTTATACAGAGAGATTTAATTGTCTTTGTTATCTTATATTTTGTCTGATGGACACCATACAAATATTGTTTGCTCAGTATGTTTGCATGATTGTGGTATTCTCGCCACGTCGGCATTAAAGTATCCAAGAAAGTACCTAAAAGTTATTATGATGCTTTAATTTGCTGAAATGTTTACTTGAGTAGGAGGAAAATGGCTTCAGAGGGAAAACCATGTGAGCTATTTAAACGAACATAATGGTCTTTGAGAATTTGATGGAGACCCCAATTAAAATGTTCTATGAAGGATGTGAAGAGCTGCAACTGTAACAGCTCTGAGCTGCAACAACCATTTTTAACTGTCATTAAAAATGGTGTCTCTGTGTTGGGGTTGTGCAGTTAATCAAATTTTAAATTCTGTTAACATTTTGGCAAGATAAGAAGTTAATTGAGATGAAAAATGAATCATTTACTTAATTGTTTTCCAAAACTGCTCCTATGTTTGACCTTTTAGCACACTTCATGCCTCTAATTCACTCCGTGCCAGTCACCTCACTAAACTTCTTTTTTTCTTTTATCTTTTTTTTAAAAATAATTCAATTTCATGGAATTAATGAAAAGACAAGGATTTTTTTTCTTGAACTTTAATAAATAATTTTTTTCCAAATCATATTCTTAATGACAAAATAATCGTTAGCATAATCGAATACCTCTGTTCTGTACATATGCTCTTGTGAAAATTCATTATAGACGTTTTGTTTAATCTTGTTACATCATAGAAAAAGAACTGATACATGAGAAATGTGCACAGCTGTGCAGCAATTAATTTAAAGCAGTTAAAAGGAGCTTTAGTTTGTTTATGCACCACAAGTTAAATCTTATTTATATTCTTTTACCGCTGACCTGGAGTTCTTGCCATTTAGTGAATGCAACAAAACGCAAAGTCCATAACTCATATTAAATAATATTTTGCACTGTACATACTGTAACAAAGATTATCAACCCCAAAACAAGCTATATAAATGCTGTAATCTAGTTTGATGTATTTGGTGTTTACAGACTGATATGTTGGTGACTGTTTATAGGAATCAATGCAGTAACAAAGGCAATAGCAGTTTTTAATGATTTAAAAGAAGAAAAAAATTATTGTATGAGCATACAGCTGTATGAAAGTATGAGTTCACAAGCTATTCATAATGATTCCACCACTCCTGCAGATCAAAGACAAATGTAGATTTCATAACAACCTCTATATGTATCTAAATCCTCCCCCTGCACTTCGCCAGGCTCCAAGGCCATGGACTACTCCAACGGGCTGTTTGACTGCCAGTCTCCCACATCGCCTTTCCTCGGTGGCCTTCGGGTCCTTCACTTGCTGGAGGATTTGCGGGCAGCACTGGAGCTGATGGATAATGATGAGAGGGACAACCTGCGGTGTCAGATTCCTGATTCCACTGCAGAGGGTCTGGCGGAGTGGCTGCACGGACGAATGGTAAAAAGACCCCGTGTAGGGTTCGCTCTAGATTTCTTTGTCTGGTCTTTTAGGTTGAAGTGTGATCGAAAAGTGTCGTGAATTTCTAATGAAGACTTCTCCTTGCACACCTCTGGACCCCTGTCAGTGTGATTGCTGTTTTTAGATCAGTGAGTGGACCCCTTGTTGCTCAATGAGGTTTATGAAGTTATGTCATAGATTGAGGTGATGGAAGCCGCATCTTTGGTTCCATACATAGACTAACACATAGTTGGTTCACTGCCTCTGTCAAAGATCAGAGGGCGTGACTCAGGTCAAAGACATGCTTTATAATTTTATTTTTTTAACGTATAGAGTTCTGCTGTAAGTCTAAGGGAGGTCACTCCCTTTTTTGGCCACTACAATCTCTTGTTCGCTACAAGCCTTACTAGCCAGGTTTGTCTTCCTGTGACTTTGTCCTGATCTCTGAAGTTCCAGCTTGCGTCACTGGATATGCAAGTGCTCAGATTAGAAGTTTTAAAAGACTGCATCCGTGCTGAAAGTGATCAAGAAGGAGTCTACTTTGATGTGGAAATGAGCTCAATTTAAACCCAGCCTTTTAGAGAGGTGGCATACATCTTTGGTCACGCCTTGCAGTTACATTTGGGAGTAATAAAGGTTATATATGCCCCTTGAAGAGACTTTTTCATCATCTGTCTCAATTGCATCTTAACCTGTTGAGGTCATTTTGAGTTTATTGCTTTCTTGTTGGATCCATTTGCTCCTAGTTTTGCATCAAATGCAGTTGATTCACCTGAGGATTACATGTGGATAAGTATGAGGAAATGAAAATCTGCTCTTCTTTTCTTGCTTTCCTGAGCAGAGAGAGTTGCTGCAAACCTAAAGGCCATCGTTTGATATTTTTTATTTATTTATTTATTTATTTTGTGTGCAGAAATGAGAAAAACCCGTCACTTTGTGCATGGTTCGTATCTTTGCACAGCGCAGATTTAGCCTGGGATGAATTATCCTCTATGCTTTTCATCTCTTGATTGTGCTCCTTTGCCTTTACTGTGACTTTGTTTATACTAGAAGTAATGTTTTGACAGGGTGTGTGAATGATGGAGTTTCTATAGGAGCCTCCCTGCAAATAGTTTCCATCATAAAAACTCATGCTGACTCGGTGTGAGGCTCATGTTTTTCTTCCTTCGCTCCCTCGTCTCTCCATTTGTGATATTTGAGAAAAAGTTTGCTTTTCATTCAATTTTGAAATCACTTTCATGTGAGAACACTGATGACAGTCACATTTTCCTGAAAGTCTTTAAACACGTATCAATTCATTCCTTCAAGGGAAAACCATGTGACTGTGAGTTATGTTTATACAAGAAAACAGTGTGTAGTTTATCCATTAGGATATCCATGTAGCTCAGAGCTGTGTATTTTAGTTTGCTTCTCCCAGGCAGATCTACATTTCAACATAATTTATATACCATCTCCCGATTTTATGAGCTCTTATATTTCAAGAAACATTAACTTAAAGCCTTATTTATCTTGCATTGCAAATGCAGCTGTTTGCTCAAACAATACAGATCCCCTTGTATCATCTCTTATTTCAGACCAACGTCCACAGCTCCGAAGCAGTCGCCCAAGAGCGTCTGTCACGACTTGAGAGTGACAAAGAGTGTCTCATTCTTCAGGTGCGTGAGCAAAGCTCTCTGTCACGGCTGCAAAACAGCCGAGCAATTTGTCTTGAATGTGCAATTAAGTGTTATTGTGGCTATTAGCACTTGTGTTATTAGTGGGATCAAAGGCACGCTTTCAGTTCTTTTTGTAAGCTTGCAGCATGTTGCCAAAATTAAACAATAGATTTGGAAGAAATCTGGTGGAAGGGAACAAATTATTATTTCTCCATTCTTATTTTAAGCCACAGTGTCGTTGCATGTGCACTAAAAATTGCTTCTTTTATGAATTCATGTGCTCGGTTCTGTTAGTACAGGCCCAAATATGTCTATTTTTTCCTCCAATAGTTGTAACCTTTATTTTAACTGTTAGGCAAATCTGTGCAGGCATTCGAGACTGTTTACATAAAATACACTTTGTGGCAACTACGTTAATGTTAGAGGAGGTCTCAAATAAAATGACACTGTCTTTGAGGGATGTTCATAGAACAAAATCAAGATCGAATATGTGACATGAATGTTCAACAGGCTACTTTGGCAGAAAGTGTTAAATTGAAAATGCCTTAATCAAGTGCTCATGATTGTGACTCACTTGAAATCCATCCATGGATAATATTTGATATTAGAGCTGATTACATTTCAGAGCTTTTTCTTGGCCAGACAGATAGTTATGAGTCAAAGAAGTTGCCAAGTTCATTAAACAAATAGTTTTCTTTTGTTTTTTGTGTGATTTATCAGTTAGTAGTCAGATTTGGTTACCTTTTAGACAGAGCCAGCTGTTCCTCCCCCAATTTCCAGCCTCGGTGTTGAGCGAAACTCTCTGCCTGCTGGATGTAGTTACATATTTTCCACACAGAGACACATGAGAATAGTGTTGACCACCACACTGACTCTCTGCAAGAAAGTACATAAGCATATTCCCCCAAAATGTCAAACTAATGTCTCTGTGCTTTAAAGGTCCTAAAACATGTTTCACTATTGTCTAGGTAAGCGTTTTAACAGACCAGGTGGAGGTGCAAGGTGAAAAGATTCGAGATCTAGACAGCTGTCTTGAGCAACATCGTGAGAAACTCAATGCTACTGAGCAGCTTCTTCAGCAGGTAAGGGCTCTTTCTATACTTGCATTGAATGCCAGTTAACGGTGGTTTGAGATAGCCGAGACCACCCATTTTGAAACTTTCTTCTTTCCTGGTAATAGTGCAGCCTTTACTGCATGTGAATGTTGCTCCACAGGAGCTTTTGAACCGGACAGCACTGGAGACCCAGAAGCTGGAGCTTATGACCGAGGTGTCCAGCCTGAAGCTGAAGCTATCTACTGTGGAGAGAGATCACAGAGGCAATGAGGTAGAGCACCTTCCTCGAAATGTAGGCTGTAAAAAGAAGCACGCATTCTAATTCTCAGATGCACCTGCACCTCGTCTAATGTGCCGTGCGACTCTGAATCCTGGCAGCCACCGACTTATTGTTTTAAAGTCACAAAGGTCGGCCTCACTCGGCTGGACTGAGATCTGTCATGTGGTGCAACGTGAACTTCTTTAAGGGTTACAGAAGATATTTAAACAGTCCTTGTGCTCCAGCAGCTGTTTCCTGCCAAAATAACCCCCACCCACCCATACTCCCTTTCTCCACTCTCACAGGCTAAAAAGCTTTCCATACACTGTGCTCGGAAGCTGGGATATATTATGTGTACTTTCCACGCAGTAAAAGGATATAAATTTTTTTCCCCCGTTTTTGGTGCTGTTTAGCTTTAAATGAAAACCCTGATTGGCCGTCTTGTCTGTCCTAGTTTTCATGACCTTATAATGTTACCTTGAGCAGCTTTTTGACACATTCAAAATCTCACTTCATATTATCAAACCAAACAAACCTATTCTTTCTAACGAGAAAAGTTTGTGTCAAGCATTATGATGATTTGATTAAAACATATCTAAAGGGGAACTCCTTTTCTTTTTCTTTGGGCTCCGTAACACCAGGCGAGTGTAAATGATTAGTAAAAATTTAGATTTATATTGATATATTCTGTAACACTATTAGTCAGTATTTGCTGGGCCTATTTTCCTTATAAATATCCAGAATCAAAATGAGTCCAGTTAATTTTCTGTGCACTCCTTTTGTTACAGTGTAAACTGCAACCAATAGCAGCTAATTCTTTCAGACGCTATATGCCAAGAATAACAGAGAACAGTACAGAAACACATACTCCAAACAAGTGCTGAGAGTGTGCAAACCTCCCCCAAGAAAATTCACTGTCTGGGCAGTATCTGCTTTTAAGGCAATGGTATTGTATTTTGTATATATTCATTTGAGCCTACTTTAAGAAGTTTGTAGTACAGTAAAAATCAGACAAGGATAGCATGACAGATGTTTGCTTTGACTACACTAACATTATGCAGCAGCAGGTAATGTATAATGGGTATTAGTGTGCAGTTTGAGAAGAAGACCTTCAATTCATTCAAACTTCAAGCTAACATGTTTACAAACAGAATGATGACACGTATGCGCGCAAATGCTACCAAAACCAATAACCTTTTTGTACATCAACATGATGAAAATGCTAAAACAATAGCCACACAAAATGTAGCATATCTTACTGTTTGAAGTTGTGACACAAATACAGAAATCACTATGTTTGTATGTTCTTCTCTCTCACCCTTCTGTTCATTGCATCCACTTTAAATTTGGGAGGTGCATTGGTGGAGACTTGAGGAAGTGCAGCAGCGTGTTTCGGTTTGTCAGTTTCAGGTCTTTCAAAGGAAGTTCATGACATTAATGGATTCCTTAAGTTTAACCGTCACAGACAAGTACCAAATCTTGTTTAGGGGGCATCTGTAAATTGTGGGTACAACAAAATAAACTTGGTTCTACTTGGTCCGAACAGGCTTTGCGCTGTTATACTTTTCATGATATTAGCTGAGTGAGACGGTTTTAAAGTCACATTTTCTCTGAAATCCCAAACCCTGTTCTCAATACAAATGAAGATGATATAAACAAGAAGTAATCAAATATTTTCTGTTTACCAACAACAGTCCTCCTTGAAGAATGAAGGGTTTACAATCACAAAAAAAGTAAATACCCATTGCATTTAAAGTCAGTTTCCCAGGCCTCCTACACTGTTGCTGATTGGGATAAAAGGAGTTTCACATTAATTAACCGTGACCCTTCCCTTAAGTCTAGGATTTGTCTCAATGTGTAGACTGAGCTCCTCATATTCCCTCCTGAGAGACATCAGTCTGAAAATAATGTTGATGCCTTTGGCAAGAATGTTCCTTCTGCTGAAGAAGGGGAGAAAAAAAAACAGACATCTCTCCCACGCACAGTCTCCACGAAGCTCTCCAGTTCAGGTTTGTATCGGAGTTTAGCGGTTAATGGGAGTTCTGTTTTCCTCCCCAGGGCTTGTACCAGGAAGTGACGGACCTGCGGTTCAGGGTTACTGATATAGAGAATCAAAGAGTGCAGTGTGAGAAGAAACTCAAAGCTACCAAAGTGAGTGTCTGTAGTTCACATCCATTCAGCAAACGGCTTTGTAATTGACCATAACCATAATCTGAATATGTTTTAATCTTTTGAAATGCATCATTACATGTTTAAATCCTTCTGATTTTCCCCGTGACATTTTTCTCTGTTTATTCTTCTTTTCCACCCCTCTTCTATTTGGCTTCCGCTTTTTATTTCTTCTGTTATGTTAACATCTTACTGCAACATGTTAATCTGTCAAGCGTCCAAAGTGGAACACTGGTCGGTTCACTGGACTTGAGGTGAAGGTTTAATCTCCAGCCCCCCCTTTTTTTTCTTTTTTCTCCTTTCTGGCCCTTAAGATCCTCTAAGCCTGCTCTCCTCCTTCACTGCTGCGCACTGATTTCCTGACTTTCACCACACTTGCTGTAAGTGCTCCCACCAGTACTAAAATCCTGTATTAACTTTTTGTTCTCTACACCTGTAGAGCAAAATAATGTTGACCGAAGCATTGCTAATCAGCAAGTGTTGGGTTGTTTTTTTTTGGGTTTTTTTTTTTTCTTTTGAGTAGGAGGGTGGTATTTCTCCATTTATAAATCTGCACATCTTGTAAATTTTCTATATTAGAGTAGTTGAGTTTTTAATTAGTAGTTTTTGTGTGAGATACTAGTCTGCATGCTGACTGTTATGCAATTTGTTGATTAGCTTGAGTTTGCGCTGAATCACATCACTCGTGCCACAGTGTGTTTGCAGTGTTTTGGTAACGTAGCTCTCCACTTATTCTACATATAACATTTCGTTTACACGAGCATGTGAATTTGGACACGTTTCTATGGAGAAACGTCAGAGTTTCATTTATTTTGCAGGTATTTAGTTGTCGTTTTCCAAATCATTGAACTTATGTAAATATTCATCTGATAGAGGCAATAGTTGAAAAACAAGACTGTCTCAAGTCATATGACATTAATGTGTACACGTATTTTCAAGGGGCTTCATTAGTACTTTAGTCTAGTCTATACATAGACTGTAGATAAAGGGTGGACTTGCCGCTCTGACCTCACTCAACGCGTCAGTGAGCTACGGTTTTTGAAGACCAAGGTCAGCAACCTGACTGACCTTGTTTTTGGAAGCCAGATGGGAGCCCACTTGGATGAGAACATTAGGTTTAAGGTAATCGGCTAAATGCAAATTTCTGGTGCAGTGGTTGTCTCTGCAGAGTTATTTGCCTGCGCAACGAGATTTGCAAACTATCTACACACGCTTTGTGCAGTCCTCAAATAACCCAGTAGTATGTAGCTTCATGTGGATGATGCTGTATATCAGCGGTCCCCAACCTTTTTTGCGCCACGGACCGGTTTATACCCGACAATGTTTTCATGGACCGGCCTTTAAGGTGTCACGGATAAATACATCAAAATAAAACTAGTACCGGTACGGAAAAAAGGAAGGTTTATTCATAACACACGTGAAAAGACCCAGGAAAACCGAGTAAACTATAACAAACTAACGCTGAAAACCGATTTAAAAACCCTGAAAACTATACATTTCACACCTGAGCCTCAACTCTCGTGGGCCGGTACCAAATGACTCACGGACCGGTACCGGTCTGAGGCCCGGGGGTTGGGGACCACTGCTGTATATGGTAGGTCACAGCGCAGTTCACCACAAACGGGACAACCTTAAAACAGTCTCCCGCTAAGGTAAAAAAGCATACAGAATAAAGTGGCTGCAGAGAAAACTTTACTTCTTTAACATTCTTCTTCTTCAGCTCCTCGTATGTTATAGCTTTTCTTTTCTTTGTGGCTGGCAAGACCAACAGTAGCACAAGCAAGAGTAGGCCATGGACTATGTATTTTTGACACTGCCCCCTGGTGATGGGAAACGGATACAGCATGTAGACGATGATCTGTGAAGCTATCTGTAGGGTGTGCACAGGACCAATGCAGAGACGCTATATTTTCTAAAGACTAGTTAGACAATAATCTTGCTAACCAATCTAGCAGCGATTCGTATTGTTGGAAGCGATGTTATGCAGACAGCCAGTGGCACCCACCTGTTAATCAAAGTGAATGCACTCCTAATAACTCATGATCTAAAGCAAGCTAAATCACATTTTAATTGCATGCAGCTCTCAGGCATCATTTTTGAAACAATTTGTTGCTTAAGAGTCACCCTAAAGTTGCTGTGCCTCTAATAATTTAACTTAAGCATACCTTTCTTTCCAGATTGTTTAATGCATTAGATGCTTTTCTCTGCTTCCTAGTATTAAATGCTGCAAATAAATTATGGCTTTGTCAACCCTCATTATAGGAGGAGCTGCAGCTTCTGCAGAGGCAGCTGGAGGAGCGAGAGTTGGAGCTGCAGAAGTTGAAGGATGAGGGCAGACTGAAGGTGGAGAGCCACAACAGAGCTGAGGGGGCAGAAAGAGGTGGGAGCTGTTTTTAATAACTGTCATGTTCTATTTCATGCACTTCAGTTCCAAAATTGGCTTGAGGATTAGAAAAATAGACATTTTCCATTCCAGCAACACTATATCCACCTTCAGAAGCCTTACCAGACAAATATCACACAGCTTTTGTCTGGATTTCTCCATTTCTTCTTTTTTTTTAAGTATCTTACATTTCACAGACAGTCTGAGGTAATTTGAACCTGATTTTAGTTTTTTAACTCCCTATCTGTCTGTCTGTATGATCCATACCAAACACATCACTATCTTACTCCTTCCACCCCCACAATTGACCTTATCTTATCCACTCTGATGGAGGAATGTTGTGCTTCTGTCATGCTGGCCTGCCTGTAAACATGTTCTGTGCAGTAAAATCTAAAGACAGGAAGGCTTTTGTTTTGTCTTCAGCTATCTCAGCATAGAGGCACAACAAATCCATCAGAAGTTAGAAATGAAGCAGACTAGAACAATAAGTGAGGAACTCGGTTAACGTGCAATTGGGAAACTTGCAGAGTAAATGTGCATGCTGCTGACTTCGCTGGCACAAGATTCGAGGCGAAGGTGATTTGATGAGCAACAGGCTTTTCTTAAGTTGAGACATTTAAGTGGAGTAAATGATGCTCATACACAGAGCTTGAACTCTTCAGAGCAGTAGGACAAACGGTGAAGATGCCAGAGTTTCACCCTAGAAAGTTATTAATGGTGTTTTAAATTGTTTGTTTGCCCAGCACAGGCTAGAAGTCTTACATATTGTAATTTTAAGTGGTGCCTCTGGCCAGCCCAACATTTGCCCTCCAAACCAGATCTGACACAACCTCGCCCGAGGGAATAATCCTGCTCTTCAGCTGCTAGATCTGCCTGTTTTGCTGTTCTTTATGTCTGTGGGTCAGCAGCCGCACTACGCTGGTGTGGCTGCTGGTGGTGAAGAATGCAAGAAATTATACAACATATCAGCCTGTGCACATTTTTTAGGAGTTCATTAGGTTTGGATTACGTTATCAAGTGGCTGGGGGGGCACATTTAATTGTGTGGTGTTGCTTGAAAAAACAGACACAGACCCTGTGTTAATCTGTAGCGATAACTAAATCAAGAGATCATTGCAAGCTGAAACAAGAGCCCTTCTGACCAGTACGCTGTGCCCCAGTGGCTTCGTTATTTCTGGTTTCTGTTGGTTGCTTTCAGAGCCCGCAGGAGCTGATGTTTAAATGTTCACAAGTATAAAGCATCTTTTTTCTTCTCCTTTCTCCAGATACTGAAATGTTGAAGATGAAGAGGGTTTTAGAGTCGCTGACGTCAGAGAACGATGAGAAGGTAGTGTGCAGTGCGTCAGCAGCAGCTTTAACTCACTTCGAGTCATCATTGCAATGACATAATGTGTGTCTGTCTCCAGGAACGAAGGATTAAAGAGCTGGAGGAGTCCCTTAAAAAGTGCAAAAAGGTGCAGGAGCTGGTCAGAGGTCAGAAAATCTAACCTCGTAAATTTCAAATTTACTCACATTGATATTTACAGTTTTGTTGTTAAAACTACTTCTGCACTGAGTCAAAGCTGGATTTAAAGCATATTTTTAAGCTCCTTTTGGTTCTTAAAGTGTTCAAAATAAACATGTAAAACACCTAATTCTCCATTTTAAGAGTGACAGTTTTTGACCCCCAAAACCTGCTGGCGGTAGAAAAAGGCATCTTCTCTTTTGAATAATAATTGCTAAAAAACTCTGGTGTACTTCACAAAGCTTCCTTTCGGTTTCTATCCATGATTATTTTCATAGAGCTGCAGGACTTTGTGTTGCCGTTACAAATACATTTTCTCTCACTGTCAAAGTATGTGTAACTCAAGTGCAAAAAACACCCCAAAACCGCCCGTTTGACTGTCAAAAGCCCTGTTTTCTTGTACTTTTATCCACAATGTTGGAATGCTTTTAACACTGCCAATGAACTTTGAAAAGGTAAGACTGATGTTGGTGGGTTTGTGCTTTATGGTGTCCCCGCTGACTGCCCTCACTGCTCTCTCAGAGAAGCTGAATGAAGATGACTACCACGATATCCCAGATGATCCCTCGGTCTCTGCAGCCATGGAGGTTGATCAGGTCACTGTGGAGTTGGAGGGGGAGGCAGGAAGGAGCTTGGGCGAGGTAAACACAACCTCTATCAAAACAGTTCTGACACAGGATGAACCCCAGACTGTGGACTTCCTTTATAAAAACTCAGTTTTGGCCTCCCACTCTGAAATTGTTTCTGCCAGGAATTCAGAGCTTTGGTTCTTGCTGTTCTGTTTGTTGATGTCGGTGCATGCTCTGCTTTAGGAAAGTGTTTTTGCTTCATTATGCTTTTATCTGTTGTCTCAGTCTGTTCCATGCATAGCGGTGCTCTCTGAAATGAACGAACTGGACAGAGAGCGACAGCTTCAGGCAGCCGGAAGGTAAAACTCAAGCTTCCACATGTGATTGCTGTAATTAAAAGACATCGTTCTTTTTCTGCTTTATTTAGTTTCACGGGTCAAATGAAGTAATTTACATTTTGTGCACAAATATCAGTCTACTTCTAGGTGATGTCTGGGAACTTCAACCTTTCTCTAATCAGCGAAACATCAGCTTGAATAAATTTAGATTGTCTAAAGGTGGTGTGTTGGCGATGCTGTTTGCTTTTAGGGACGCAGCATCAAAGTGTAAAAGTTAAGTGTTTGCTGTTGTCGCTGAAATTATTCAGTCGTTTGAGTTAATTTCTTTCATCCCTGCGTTAGACCTCGGTGTGATTAGACTTTTGAGGTTAGTAAAGGTTATTATGGCTGTGTTGGGAATCTGAGGCTACACAGGTTTCCCTACCAGTAACAAGAATAAAGGTGAAATTTGTACCGCACAGCATTAACAACAGGACTGAGTAGAGTCGAAGATTTGTGCCGACATAAAAGGTCTAATCAAGGGACCGATGTGAAAACGCCTGTGTGGGTGTACTTTGAGTGAGCAAAGGCTTTAAGCAGAACAATTTTTAGGTACATCGCATTTAAATGACTTTGTGAAACAATTGCTGCTAATTGCTGGTTAGCAGAATAGTAATTTAATGCATTGTACTGCACAAATTTCATTTTTTCCTTTCTTTTGGTTGATTTTATTTTTAACACTTTAATTTTAATTATGTAATATTACTTCTACTTGATGTTAAGAACATTTCTAGATTATTAAACTATTTTTTTAGCCTGTGCTTGAGGCCTGAATTCTCATTGTTGTGATTTCAGTACCTTAGACATCCCAGAACCAAGCAGCTCAGCTGGAACCAGCAGCACTGATCAAGTAAGACAAGGCTATCTCTGATGTGCTCTGGCTGATTATACTGTTATACTTATTATTTCTATAATAATATATTCTATTGTTATATCAAAAATACTCATTACTATTTAATTATTTTTTTTTAACATTTTGTACTAAGTAGTAGAGTAGATCCTCCTTGTTATGAATGATTAGGACCAGTCACAGAGTCCTCTGTGTAAGCTTGTCCTCCTCTGACACCTAGTGGTGCTTTTTTCCTGTGATTTGTGCTTTAATTCTTCTGTCTCTACATGTTTTTTTTTCCCTCCTCATAGGGCCTAAATAAAACAGGATGTAGTTCTTCTTCTCCAACTAAAGGAAACGCCACAAGCGATGGGAATTTTGGTACCAAGAAAGCCCGCGCTTCATTTGGCCGGGGCTTCTTCAAACTACGTGGAGGCAAGCAGACGGGCAGCGCCCCGAACCTCGGTGAGCTTTGCCATCTTGTAGAAGGCATTTGATTTTTTTTTCCCTGTATTTGTTTATGTGTGTGTTTTTATTTTATTACTTATGTTCATGTTTCCTTCATGGCTCTGTAAATTGTGAAGATCGCACCCGGAGTGCCAGTGCACCTGTGTTAGGTACAGTGAAGCAGAGTGGCTTTTTGGCCTGCAGCATGGCAGCTGTGGGTGAGACAGCTGGATGCACTGAAGCCAGCACTGACACGACAATGTAAACATTTATCTTACATGAATCCTTGTCATGCTGGTCTTTCATAGAAACACTCTCCTAAAAAATGAATGTTTCCCAACTTTTTTGTTGCTGTTGTTCATGACATCTTATGTTTATGAGTTTATAAATATAATTGTTTTCTCTTTCACTTTTTCAATAATTATATCTCACAGATCTGAAGAGATAAAACCAGACTGAGTTGCAAGAAAAGTTGGAAACCACTAAAGGCTATTCTTTATTGGGATTTCTTTTTTTCTTCTCTCAACCATTTGCTTGCAGCTTACTCTGACGTGTTTCTATCAAAGTTATCACAAAAACATCCAGTTGTCTTTTATCCACGACATTACACCATCTGCAATTATGCCGTTTTTAGTGTTTTTCCAGGTTACATTTATTTTGCATTACTACTTTGTAAACGAGTAGATGTTTGCATGTGTGATGCTTCTCCAGTTTGTGTTGATTTCGTCCTGTTAGAATCCAGAGATCTCTGGAATCTCTGTGCTCATGGTGGTGGGTCATCCATGCTTGCTCCAGCTTGTATAGTCTCACATGTGTAATTGACTTTCACAGCTGAGACAGCGCACAAAGGCACAGAGCACCTCGACTTGGCCGGTTCTCCTCCACGGAAATCCCACGATAAATCGCCTCCAACGTCCTCGCCCGAAACCAAAAAGAAGTCCAAAGGGTTCAAGAGATTCTTTGGCAGGTAAGACTCAGCGACGCGTCGTCGGTGTTTGAGCTGGAGGAAATGTATCTTTGATCATTTCTAACGTAATTGCGATGCAGGTTAAAGAGGAGCCACTCTACCTCCTTCAACCTTGATGATGCAGCCGAGATGGAGTTCAGAAGGGGTGGAGTCAGAGCTACAGCCGGCCCCAGACTCGGCTGGTCACGCGACACCAAACAAATGTAGGAGTTCAAAAACCGTTTTAGAACATCTTAGTTATAAAATAAGTAAACCGTTATTGTATTAATTATTAACTGCTGCATATAAGGGCAAAACTACAAAGTGTTTTTCCCATTTGAGGGTTTTAAGAATGCTGTTTACTGATGTTCGTCCTCTCTCCTCTCAGTGCTGTTGATCTTCCTTTCTCACGGTGGAGCAAAGAGGAAGTTTGTGCGTGGCTTCATGAGCAGGGCCTCGGGTTTTATGTCGCGCAGGGTCTGAGCTGGATCAAATCAGGACAAACATTACTGCAAGCATCACAGCATGACTTAGAGAAGGTAACGGTGACAGCAGTAGAAACATGTTGTCTATGTATACATCTTCATATCTTCTTTTTTTATCTTTATACTTTTAGTGCTTATAAACCTATATTTTTTTTTTAAAGAATAAATGAAGAAACAAGTCTGTAATTATGCCACTTCATGTGAATTACACGATTTGCTAAGTTTCTACTAAAACAGGCAGAATAAACGTCACACTATGTTTCAGGAGCTGGGCGTGAAGCACCCTCTGCACAGGAAGAAGCTGCAGCTGGCCCTGCAGGCTGTCGGATCAGAAGAAGAAGATCTGAAGGGCAAACTAGACCACAACTGGGTGACGAGTGAGTGCCGTCGTCTCACGGCCTGCACGTATCATCTCCATTAGCTTTGATTCAAACAGGCTGTTTGTTTTCAGGATGGCTGGATGACATCGGTCTCCCGCAGTACAAAAGTCACTTTGATGAGGCTCGAATTGATGGACGCACGCTGCACTACATGACAGTGGTGAGCTCCGTCAGAGCTTTTAGATTTACTCTTATTAAAAAGTTCAAAAATAGCTGTTCTTTCATATTCTGTCTGATTTTTGTGTGAATAAGTCATTCGACAGGTGACGTGTGTAGGTGGTAACTCTTTGTTGTTATCCCAGGAGGACCTGCTGTCTCTGAAGGTTGGCAGTGTTCTCCATCACCTCAGCATCAAGAGGGCCATCCAGGTCCTCCGCCTCAACTCTTACGACCCCAACTGTCTCAGACGCCGTCCCTCTGATGAGGTATCACGCAGAAGTCCCAACCCAACCTTCTCTTTTGCTTTAAACCCGTCATTTTTAAAATTTAATTATTAATTTTATTCCCTCGTCGTCCAGAGCAACGTCACACCAGCAGAGATCTCGCAGTGGACCAACCACAGAGTGATGGAGTGGCTCCGCTCCGTGGACCTGGCGGAATATGCCCCCAACCTGAGGGGGAGTGGTGTTCACGGAGGGCTGATGGTGAGCATTATATACACAAAAATAAACACAGGAGACAGAATAAACTGTGGAAACTGCAAATTAGAGGTCACAAAATGTGTAACGGAAACTGTAAAGAGCTGAAAAAGCAGTGCCTTCATCAGGTTTGAATAAGCTGTTCCACCTAAGATCATTTTTCCTCAAGTCACTGGTGCTGCGTATTTCTTTTATATAATCACACTAAATGGAGCCGGCTTTGGTGCTCAGTGTGCAGAAAATGCATTCAAAGAAACTTGGCAGTCGTTATTAAAAGGTTACTGGGAAAAAGAACCCACAAACCTAAATATGAGCAGTTTCATGTAGGAACTATTTTCTTTCTAGTATCTAAGAACCGACAAACTAAAAGGAAACGCTTACAGCTCAGCTGAGAGGGACGTCATAAATGTTTAGATGCCTTCAGTCTCATTAGTTTGTGCATTTCATCGCAGGAGAATTGATTCTTTCTTGTGATATACTTTGCATAACTGCATCGGAAAATAATTCCTACACAAGACTACTCAAAGCAAAGGGAAAGACTTCACGACAGGGACATAATTGAGGTGAACTGTCTTTAAAGCAACTGCAATCATTTACATGTCAGGCTGTCTGTTTATTACTTCACTAGCAAAGAGCACACGGTGAACTGCCTACATTTCTGACTCTAAGCTTCTGTCTTTTAACAAATAATAATGATTAAGTCCCCTCTGCTGCTCTGCGTCATTCATACATACATTTTTATTTTTTTGACCTTGCACCGCGATGTTTCATCTGCCTGTTCTGAAGGTGTTGGAGCCTCGATTCAATGTGGAAGCACTCGCCCTTCTGCTCAACATTCCTCCCAACAAAACCCTGCTGAGACGCCACCTGGCCACCCATTTCCACCTGCTCATTGGCTCCGAAGCGCAGCGGCTCAAACAGGACTGTCTGGAAAACCCAGACTACACGGTCCTCACAGCAACGGCCAAGGTCAAGGTAACTGCACGCTGTTTCACAACGAACCCTCCCTGCTACAGAGAGGAACTTATCATTATTGCAGACTCCAAACAGATCAGCGGTACCAAAACTGGCAAACCAAAAGTAAAAAAGTAAACCTAGCAAAAAAAAAAGCCTCTCAATTCTTACAGATCTGAACTTCTGTTTTTTCACCTCTTTAGACAGCAGGCTGTATTTAAAGCATGGATGGTGAAACTGAAGCTATTCCACACTTAGTAGCCTCTTGTCAATCACAGAGTAGCCACGCCCTAAAGCATAACATGCTTTGTCTTTTTTATGTTCATATAAGATGTGAAACTTGCAATTAAGAGCATGATCATAAATCAAATAAGCAGTACTTACATTTTCCCAGAGTCTCTTTTATATTAATCTCCTGCATACGGTCGGCAAACCTTTTAAAAGAGAAGCAGCTAAATGAGAAAGTAAATAAGCTCTGTTGCCATAAATATCAAAGCGTTAAGCCCAGTAGAGTTTCCCAACACTAATAATACTTTTAAATAAAGTAGCTGTTTCTCAGGACATGAATGAGCTTGTCTGCTACTTGGAAGGTTGGCAGTTCAATCCCCAGCTCCTCTAGCCTGAAGTATACTTGGGCAAGATGCTGAACCCTGAGTTCTCCCTGATGCATTTATTGGAGTGTGAATGTTAAATGTGATGTGTGGGTGAATGAGGCTTGTAGCAAACGCTCATGTTACGAGCTGGCCATCTGCTAATTGTGTCCTTTATCCTCCTTCAGCCGAGGCGCTTGTCGTTTGGAGGTTTTGGCACTCTGAGGAAGAAACGTCAGGATGACGGTGAGGAGTACGTGTGCCCCATGAATGTGGAAATGCCAAAAAACAGCAGCTTCCAGACTAGCACCCAGATCTACGAGGATAACCTTGAGCACCTGGAACAGGTACACACTCTCCCAGTTACACTTATTTGTAACACAATAAATTAGTTTTGTTGAATTTGAGTTGATTCTGTCACTTTTCACAGATGGAGGACTCTGAAGGAACCGTCAGACAGATAGGAGCCTTTTCTGAGGGAATCAACAATCTGACGGTGAGAAGCTGACCTGCGATCACACAGAACACGCTGTCCATCGACTACACTGAACGCTGTTCTGTGCTCCTGTGTTTCAGAGCATGCTGAAGGATGACGTGTTTTTCCGGGAAGTGTCGGCGTGCCCTCCAGAGTATGGTCCCTCAGAAATGCACAGTAACTCAAACATCTGATATCAGAGCTCCGCAAGCTTCATGGAAAAAGAACGAACTGTGCCAACTTCATCCTGTGGTCCATCTCTCTCTACCGCTGATCAGCTTTTGTAAGAGAACATGTCAGACTAACAATATTTCCATCTTTTGCATGTACACATCTATATTTATTGAAGCTGTCCAAAATGTAACATGTGAACTGAAAATGCAAAGTGTTCTCAAATTAACATACCTCTTTATGAATTTTGTCACTCATGCCTTTGTTTTTTTTTAAACTTTGTGTGTTTCAGCCCGTATTTGAAAGGGCTTGTCTTCAGTTGTGTTCACTGATTCTGTTTGTGAGAAGTGCTTACATTCAAGGTTATGATTTTATTTGAACATATGTTAAAATTGATGCCTCACAGAAATCGAGTGAGGCAGGGCGAGCAGCGTTTTTCTGTGCGGTGCTCACAGAATTGTATTTTGACCCAGTTGAGCGTTGTGCAAGCTGAAGGCTTTTTGAAAAATTACTTTCTTCAAATGGTGATTTGTATCCAGGCTCTCTGGGGCACCAATGCTGGACGAAGTGCTGTGGCTATTTTTTGGGGTTAACATTTTACTGTGAGCACCAACACCTCAACAGATCAAGCTACTAGTATCTATGGATTTTAAGCTATGTGCTTACACTATCAGTGAGAAGCGTGAGGGCACTGTTATGCTACAACGTGTGATATATAGACTGGGAATGGGGGAACATGCACACCTGGCTCAAGGAAATCACTGTTCACCACTAAACTAGTAGGGATGGTCTTTAAAACAAAAAAACAAAACAAAAAAACAAACAAACAACCCATTAATATCAAATGGTCTTCTCAGTCTTAATATATATTTTCCCAGCGGAAGAAGCACACCTAAAAACATTAATGACTGAGAGATTAGATGTTACTGTCAAATGGGAGAAATTTAGAAAGCCAAAGATGACTTTAGATAAAGTGAGTAAGCATCAAAGACTACTCGAATAGTTCCTGGAGACTAATATGTTTTAGCCAGTGTATGCCCATGCCTACTAGCTTAGTAAAGAAGGACATTCTTTTAAAAAAAATAAATAAATAAAAATTACTGCTTATTTTTGTTTTCGCACAGTTTAAATAAAGATCATGTGAGTTGGGGAGCCAGCTGCTTCCTCTTGTTTACAGTCTAAGCTAATCAGCACCTGGCTGACTGGAGTGTCACATTAACCGTACACACATGAGTGTGTTTCCCTGAAGTGTCCAGCTCTTCTGTTTCAGATACAGTTTAATGCAGCCTGCAGGAAGGCTGGCTATTCAACTCGATTAACATCCGATCCCTGCCTCAATGCAGACTGCAGTCAATCTTTCCTTAAAAGAAAATGGACAAATCTCTGCTCACACATACCATTTGTGGTTTTATTCTGTTTTTAAAACGTTGTGTTAATAAATGCATTTCTTTTTCCCTGCAGAAAGTGTCTTCACTTAATCATGATAGAAGCTAAAATCCACTTGTGACCAACATGATTCAGAAACGATGATCAAAACACCAATAGTTCAACAGCATTGTTGCTTTATGATCCATAAACACAAGCAGCCACTTTTTCCACACTTTCAGAAAACAAATCAGTAACCACGCTGCGTTTGACAAATCACAACGGAGCAAATACTGACACGTCTTGCGTGACAACAGATAAGCAACAGGTATAGACTTGTAACACGTTCCCAACACCCATAACGGAATAATCTATTATTCTGTACTGAAGTGAGTGATCACAATTCTTGTGGCGTGCATTCAATAAAATCTTTGCAGGTGTTTAAGGCACTCAGAAAAAACAGCCAGTAAACCTCGAGTCTTCTAGTAAAACCAAAGTGAAGTCATTTTCAAGCCAAACATCCGGAAACTTCTTATCCTATCATAAAATCCTTATTTCACATCCCATTTCCCCCTACACATTCACAACCTCCTACCAAACATACAAGAATTGGTCCAAGCTGTGATTCTCTTGCATGATAAATATGTCATATTTAAATATAGTGCAATACCCACTGTAGATATGACAGCTTTAATGCTTTCAGGGTAAGGGGAAAAAAAAAAGATACAACTGGATACCCTTAAATATCCAAATGATGACTCCTGGATGGACGATGTCTAAAACGTGAACCTGCGGCTGTCGGCATGGCCGACTTTATCCAGGCTAGGGTTGCAGGCAAACTGGATCATCGGTGGAGGTCCGCACATCAGGATGAGGGTCTCGTTGCTGGGAGGCGGCAGGTGTTCCCTCACCATGTCTTCACTGATGAAGCCTTTGCTGTACTCCCAGTCTGAAAGACAGAAAGGCTTGAGGTTAAAATGCTGCTCAGAATTCAAGGGTGCAAAGTGGGGCATTTTCAGTGTTCAGCAGCGACACCTACTGGTGACCATCTATAAGAGCAACTTTATCTGTCATATCATTACAGCCTGTACAAGCCACCACTCAGGCATACATTCAGATACAGTAACAACTGTGGTTATTGTGCTTGGTTCTTAAAAGTCAAACATAACCAGTGTCTAAGCAGATATTTACCTTAGGCTACGTTCACACTGCAGGTCTTAATGCTCAATTCCGATTTTTTGATCAAATCCGATTTTGTCTGCTTGTTCACACTACAAATAAAATGTGACAGCAAACGCGCTCTAGTGTGAACCCTCAAAGCGGCCTGCATGCGCAAAAGAAGACGTCATACACAACGCGCTTTGTTTAGACTCAGACCAAACAGTATTGTTTGACTGATGGCCTTAATATAAAGACTTGTTTCGGAGTTTACGTTCCCCAATTTTGCTTTAAGTTATACAGTTATTTTGTTATTTTCATATGGCCTAATAATGATCCTTATTGCTGTTTTAGAGAGGAGCGCTGCTTCAAAGGATAGTTACAGATTATACAGTACAAATAAAATGTTCACGTTTCTCCAACGTTGTCTTCCCAACAGTTTCACTGACATCTACAC